AATATACAAAACATACACACACACACACACACACACACACACACACGTATGCACAGAGGAAGAACCTATACGAAGCGATTTAAGGGTAATTTTTCAATAGCATTTTAAACTTGGATACAAGTTTAAACTCTAATAATGCGTTTGTTTAAACAGAGTTTAAGTTGAAATCTAAATTTAAACTGTCATTGAAAAATCGGCGTTTAAAGTTTTTTGTTTTTTTTTCACATAAATTCTCAATTTTATTACGTTTTTAATAATCCAGGAACAGACTGTCAGTAAGGTTTATCTTGCTAAGAAACATAAATAGGGAATAATAAATAAATAAATAGGGAATAATAAATAAATAGAGAATAATAAATATAATGTATTAAACATAAATAAAAAACAGTAAATTTTGCCAGAAATATAGTAAGTGTTTTTTAGTGATATATTCCAACTTCTCTGAAATATAAGTAGCACATGTGAAATAAAAGGATAATTAATTATTGCAAAATGCCAGTTACACAAAATCCTGTAGTAATTTCCACTATATTTTCCCTCGATGTGTCATTCTTTCTCTCTTTCCCTTTCTTATTCATCTATTTATTTATCCATTTACCGATTCATTTATCCAATTCTTTTTTCCTCAACAGTGCTGCGAATGATTAAATTTCGCGCCAACAGATGCGGTAGTCGGAGGACCACACGGCTTATGATAATGATGGATTGAGCGAGATATCGCGGGATATATCTTGTATTACGGGACAATTTGCGCCGAACAGTGTGCTGAATATGGATGGGAGTTTGATCGTCTGATACATTGTACCTGAATCTACCTGATCTTGGCGATGTAATCTGACTCGTGACATATTACGTATTCAAAGGTACAACAACTACGGCGACGCGGCTTATAATCGCCCAATGATTCGTGGCAATTGCTCAAAACGCATTCACCGCGACAGATATATCGAACGATGCCGAAACAACGCGTCTGTAAATCGACAGAAGAAAAAGAAGAAGAGGAGGAGAAGGAAGAAGAAGAAGAAGAAGAAGAAGAAATAGAACGCGTTTCACCGCTGTGCCGCGCGAAAAAATTCAAGAGGACAACTTCCTCGACGCAGTTCGCGTTTCACGCCAACGCCATCAAAGAACTTATTCTCAAAGATGCCTGAGAATACTCATTTTGAGAAAAAAAGAAAAACAAAAAGGAAAACAGAAATAAGGCAACAGACGAGTTTATTATCGCGAGTCCGCTTTGTTGTCTTGTGACTAAGAGTACGCATCATCACTTGTGCAGACACCAAACATATCTGTCTAGAAGTCGCGTCATTTTTGCAAAACACATATGTGGATTTTGACATCTCACCATGACACACATACACACATACACACACACATACACAAGCAAAGAGCAAGATCTCTGAGTATCCCTCTCCGCTGTATCGGATTATGCGAAGCCAAGCGAGAGGACGAGAGGAGCGTTCCATTTGACAATTCACCCTTCCGGATATCGTTTCGATCGGACGCGGAGGATCGTCGTCGCGACCGAGAAGTCGTCGTCCTCCTCGCGATCTCATTATCCCGACGAGGCTTCGCGTCCTTGCTTGCCTGCCTGCCTGCCTGCCTGCCTGCTTCCTTCCTTCCTTCCTTCCTACCTTACCCCTCGTCGGCGAAGATCCTCGCCTCGACGCCCGCGACACCGAAATACTTTCCTCGTTAGTCTTAATTTCGCACGCCCGACGATGCAGGGAACGACGAGACACACTTCGCGCGACGAGACACACCCGCGGCAGGAAAGCGTTAATGACGCCGCGGCTACACGGGATAAATAACACTGTGACAACGGGACTCGTCCCGTCTCGTATTGTGGCGCGAGCTCCTTAATTTTCCTGCCTAATGTTCGAATTAATTTTCCGTTCGCCTTTTCTCTATTTCACCGCGACTGGCGCCCCTTCCCCGGAGACGACGTGCCGGTACAGGTGCGCGTATCCGACATATAAATAGCATCCTTGTGATTATATATTCTCTGTATTTCTTTTATTTTCTCTTTTTTTTAATTGACTCATCACGTTCGCGTGAATAATACCAGTATAGCTCTTCGTTAAATAAAAGAGCGAAGCTCGAGCTTTTTTGAGCGCTCGCTCGAGGGAGGATTCCTACCTTTCACCGCTGCTTTCTTCCGGTAATTATCCCCGTGACTGGCGGTAGTCCAGATTTAAAAAAAGTGGTCCATCCGAAAGTTTCCCGAGGCGGGATGTCCTTCGAGCACCGTCCGGACGACCGACAACTCTGTAAAAGAAGAACACGAAATTTTCACATTTTCCTCTTAACAGGTGTATCTGATGCCGAAAAGACGAGAATGACGGTGATCAAGTAATATTATTATCTTTGTACATTTGTTTTACGCTACTTTGTGAAGTTGCTTATTCGTTAAACGTGCAGGATTTGCAGGAACTCAATGCGCTGAGATATCGCTTAAAGAAAAAGCACAAATTCGGTGAATTTTGACGCGAATTTCGAAAAATTTGGAGTCGAAGGTGACAACGCGCCGCATATCGTGATGCGCAAAAGAAAACGCAACTAACTGAAATCTCCGACTTTTCGAACATGTTTTTAAAAAGGGAATATCGTATTTCACGATATAGATACATACAAACACACACAATACATGTATATATATATATATATATATGTGTGTGTGTGTGTGTGTATACATATATACACATATATATATATATATATGTGTGTGTGTGTGTGTGTATACATATATACACATATATACATATATAGATGTATAGCGAGTAATGCCTTGGTACTCTCGGCCCGAGCGAAATCTCAGCCCGCAGGAATGACAATAGACTGTCAGATAATGAATCCCCACTGTCACCCCCTGTACCGCCGCGCGTCCTAAAACCCTCAATCTACCGTGTTCCCTTTCGACGTCTCCCCCCTCTCGCACACTCTCTCACCTTCCCTCTTACCCGCCTACGCTCGTACGTCCTGCCACCGCAGCGATGGATTCGAGAAAGTCGCGTTTCATCCCGAAAAACAACTTCCTGCTTTTACAAAAGTAAAAGCCACCCCCCGTCGCGCGGAAAAGCGTTCTGTGGCAATTACCGCGGAAAATGAAATGAATCGTTCGATTTCATCTCATAAAGCGCGTTCAACAGCGTTGCTTAGAGACTTTCGGCGACTGATAGGTAATTGCAAGTTTTGTCACTGGAGATACGGAAACACGTCTAACAAAAAAACAAAAACATAAATACTGAAAATACGGAAGTAAACCAATACCTGGATTCGTATTCAACTCTGAAAATTCTTATTGCTTTGATTTTTAAGTACAAATATTGAAACTTTGGTGCTTCCTTGGTGCTTAACATCCTCCACATTTTTTTAGGAGTATCAAGAAGCATCCCAAAATTAGGCGGCAGTTATATCTGTCGCTAAATGCGCCCCCTGTACTTTCCACCCTCCGCTCTCGTGGCAAACAGGACTATGACCGAGTAGGCGAGGCGTCCACTTAGCGCTAATGCCCCTTTTATTGGTCAAGATCTCAGTCAGAAGATGAGTAGATGCTTGCCTGGGTCGTACGCCACACGTCAATCTCCCAACGAAATTAAACCGCCGTATTAAGCGTCGTTCGCTACGTCACGATTTTCGCGATTGACACCATTAAACGGTGCGTAAAGACCCGAGGATGTCACTTCTGAATGAAATCGAATAGCGAATTTACGAAATTCGCTATCGAGCGACGACAGGTGCTCGTCGTATTGAAAGCGAGAGATCCAAATGAAATATTATATAATTTATGTCTCACACACGGCAACTGTTAACGATCGCGACCGCGCTTTTATCACTTTTATCTAAAATCGCCGTATTTCCTGTTCAATCTCTTTCAGGGCTAAGACAATACCTCTTTTTTCTGTACGGAGCATAATTCGTATCTAAAGCTACCGCGAGATACGCAAATCCTCTTTTTTTTCACGCAACGGGGAAACGAACGGAGCAAAGCCGCGTAAAAAAGAGAAAAAGACAAGAAAGAATCGGAACGTGAGGTATAACGTATCGAACTGCATGTTGAAGTCGCCGGGAGCGAGCCGGAAAAAAAATTCACGTGGAATAACTCGAGGCAGAAAAAGCGAACAAAAAATTTCCATAAAAATGCGCACCCGCACGTATAATCCGGATGAAGCTTAGTATCGTGCGAATGGGCGTAGGTAGGTACCCAATGGGGATGGTTGAAAGGACTGAAAATTGGCAGATAGAGATGATGACGATCGTAGTGTGCAGGAATAAAAATCAACCGAATTCGGTAATCACGGTATTAACTACAAATCGCATCACGCTCGTTAATAAAAATCGCATTTCAGCGTTGCGTTCTCATTTTTCGTGAGAATCATATGAGCTTCCCATTTGAATTAAATTATATCAATATAAAAATATATCGTGACATTTAAACAAAAAAAGCAACACACACACACACACATATATATATATATATATATATATATATATATACAACGGGTTAGAGAAAATTAAACTATTGTTTGCATATTCAGATTATTTACATAGTACATTAGAAAATCGAGTAAAGGGATGCAGTAGTAAATGATGTGACGAGTAAAATTTTTTTACCCTAATTAAATTATAAAATGTCAAGTTGCATAATCGTCAAGTGCGTTAATATTACGAATAATAAACATAAAAGGAGTTAATAAACGATGAATAATCAGCAAAATTGTGCAGAATATGTTTATTACAAAATATTTTAAGTAATATATATATATTTATATATATGTATATATTTTATAAGTATATATATATTTTTATTCACGGATGTATGTTGGTACGTAGTTTGGAAGATGATACAATGTACATTGTCTTCCGTTTGGAAGACACTTTCCGAAAATTGTTTTGGAAACTCTCACAACGTGATTAATACTTCGCCAAATTCCCAAATAAACTATTCACATTATTAAAACAAAAAGACAAACAACCAAGGAAAATAAAACACGTTGTGATTTTTTTCGAAACTGCATTTAGAAAATAAAAAAAAAGGAAGGGGAGGTTGCATATTCTGACGTATGTAACCGTTAAAAAAAACTGGTATCGCGACCAATATTTCTTTATCTTAAGCCTATACTTAACAAGCAAGTACAAAATATGTTATAAGAGATCGAAATTTCGTTTTGCAATCGAGATATTCGTTTTTCTCAGACTGCTATTTCATCGGTGTTATTATCTCTCTCTCTGTTAAGATTAGTAGATCACAATAGTACAGTCCTTCGCGAATAAGCGAATTAGGCATTTTCACTGGCCGGCCTCTTCTTGTTCTAAAATATACAAGATACAATTATCATTTGATATATGTAAGATAAAATTCTCCAAATCGATCTTACAGTTTGTTTAGATGTCTTCACATCTGCACTAGATGTCCGCGTTTTAGATCTTTCTTGTTCTAACTGAGCATGCAACGAGGCTACCTCAGACGTTAGTTCATCACGGATTTCTTGCAGTTTTGCAACTTCAGCCAATACTGATGCTTTATCCTTCACTGAAAAATAATCGTTAATGATAAATTTGCATAACAAAAGTGTGGATTTCTCGCTGAGCTCCGTAATACTCACTCTCGCCGTGTGATAATATTTGATAAAGCTTTTTATTTCTCTCTTTGACCTGTGTTAATTCTTCTTTTAGTGTATGCACCTCTGTCCTCAGTTGACTGATTATTTCATCTCGTTTCTCGATTTCCACTCTTAATTGTACAGATGTTATGTCATCATCAATTTTATTTAATCTGGCCTTAAATATGTCCTTCTCTTTCCCCTTTGTTATTTCTTCTTTCGTTTCCTTTTCTACCCTATTGAAAAATTCTGCATCTACTTCTGCAAGAGTCGTAATATTTATCAATGAAATAACAATCTGTTATTCTGAATACAATTAGCAAACAATTCATGAATGCTTCCATATGTTCCGAATTTGCTTCAACTATACCTTTTGACTTATTGTCTACAGAATCTGTTGTTAATACTACTACTGGTGTTGCATTTGTTCCTGTGCTAGAAGGTGCTTTATGTTTCGACAAGATACTATTAAATTCTTCTAGAGACATAGTTGCCTTCTTGGTCTTTTTACCAGACTTCTTATTCTGATCCTGTTCTTTCTCCATTTTTGCCGCACTGACTAGTTCCTCTTCATAAGCTAGCTTTGACAGCAAAATGGCTTGATGTAATTCTTGCTCAAACGTTTCCTCGATGGCCTTGAGGGAATCGCGAATGTATTAACATTTCATGCGATAACACAAAAGACATTGGATTTATGCATTCAATAAATATTGAAAATCTTTAGAATTTATAATTCTATCACCATAAATCCTGTAACCAAGTGTCACTAAATAAATAAAATGTTTTTTACTCAAATACAAACTTTGTAATACTTGCATAAATACTTAAAAAACAATCCTTAAAAAAAGAAGACACCAAACATTTGATTAATTTAAATATCCAAGATATTTACATACAAATTTTGATAAATAATTCGCAAATAAATTTTTCATGATTTCAAACAAAATTCAATTTTTACCATAGTATCTTTCTGTTTCCACTGCTCCCACTGTTGATCATCACTATTCGTTTTCTTCTTCTTTCCCTGAAGAAAAAAAACAGAAGAAATAGCGTTATACGACACATTGGGTGCATTCAGTACTACACCACTGACTGAGCTCTTACATTTGATTGGTATATATTTTGAGATCTAAAAGAATATGCCAATAGGATGCAAGAGCTCACTGAGCGATTGTAGTACTAAATGGGCGCATTGCATTAACGAGGGAAAATTTGAAACGTCTCGGTTTCCCGCCACGACGTTCGGATCCGACTCGTGACATTCCGCCGACTAATCGAAAACAAAAATGTAACAATGGACGCAGTACCTTGTTCTGCTTCTTTTTGTTTGCCTGTTGTTGCTGTTGCTGCGGCGGCGGCTGTTGCTGTTGCTTTGGCTTGTCACCTTTGCTCTTCGTGCTAGTTTTACTTGCAGTCGCGCTCTTCTGTGTCTTCTTCGGCTTGTAATCGTCGTCCTCGATACTGAGCACAGCGAATCGCGACGGCACGGCGGTCGCCATTTTCCCGTCTGACGTTACAGAACGCGCACGTTGACACTAACGTGACGGCGACGATGACCGGCACTTCCGGTCCGATGACGAATCACGAGCGCTCCGATAAAAAATCGGCAGCGATGAATCAAGCGGGACCGATCGCGTCGAATCTCACGGGAACGACGAGCCCGTCGGTGTCCAGGTCGAAGTTGAGACGCGTGCGGTCGGAAAACAGAGTGTACGCCGAAAAAAAATTGAATGACGCCGTTCGACGACGGTAGCAATGTACACACCGGAAGTAGGCAGCGCGTGCGATTCCGGCGCCGCATCGCGGCAGCCAGCGGCACTCCTCGGGTCGCCTGACGACACAGGTGTGCCAACACAACGCGGCGCGTCGCTACAATTTCGCGCCATCGCGATAAGGAGAGTAACGACAACATCGTTAGTATCGCGAGATAAAAAGTATGAAAGCCGGCTCTTGCGACAAAAAATGCCATGTTACGGAAATGCAATGGGAAATGAAATTATTGTAGCAAAGATCGTCTCTAGAAAGATCGTTGATTCTTTTATTGAGTAGAAAGGCGACGAAATTTTATAACGCGAATTTATACCCTACGAATATATCGATATACCCACGCAAAGTGGATAACCTCGTTGAATTTGTATTGTTCAAAGATCACACGAAGATCTGTTCGTTTTAATCCGAGGATTTATAGTGCAGAATCGCTGAATTCTATGATCTCACAAGATATGAACTTATGAGTCGCTGCGTTAGAATAAAAATGATAAAAATCGTCGATATTCTGACAATACAACGAGTTTCGCGGGGATCAAAATATTAAGTCCATCGAAGACACTTTCGTAAATTCAACATCCATGCTTATCTCACGGCCCTTAATTTCACGAGACTAATGTATCTCTCGTCGAATATCATTCCTCTCTCCTATTCCTTCCAAAACGCTTCATTTTACCTCAAGATCCGCGCCTCGATTTCGAATAAACACGGAAAAACAACAGGCATAATTAATTTTTTGACAAAGTCACTGTCCATCTGACGTGCACTTTCGTACACTTGCCACATCAAGTCAACATCAATGACGAACTCGAAAAATGTCGATAACGTAGAGGCGATCGTCATACGATGATACGATACGATCATACTATCCTTTTAGTATTTTTTTTATAGATCTTATACATGTGTACTACTTGATTTTATTATATTCCAGCAGAAAACAATCACGTAAAAATCTTTCTGCAAACTTTTCGTGTATTTTGAGCTTCTACGATCAATTGTAGACACAGGCATGCTCCTTCAGATTTTCGTTATCAAAGCAAACATATACAGTATCACAAGTACGCTCAAAAGTACGTAATATTAATATTTTTTATAATTTTCGCCGCATATTGAATAATGCTGTAATTCATTATTGAACATATTTTCAGTGTACAAAAGTATTTGTAATTCTGTGCAACTAATATATGGCGTAAACCTTGCAAAAAATCAATATTTTGCCGGTAAAATTTTCAAGTATGTTATATTTTTATAAATTGGAAATACGCATTCAGACCTTGAGCACGAAACGGAGACGGCGGAGGACTGCAAAAGTGCACGGAAAGTGCAAATGAAATGTACGGAATGAAAGAGCCAATCGTCGCGACGAACGTCGGCCAATGAAAACGCGCGCTGACTGTACGGACAGATGCTTACCTCGCAATTAATCCGCGCATTTCTCACGCTTCTCGTGCGTTTGTAAACAGAAAATTCTTCGCGGATTCTCCGGACCATTCTGGCGAGTATGCATCGTGTTGCAAAATAAAAAGAGGCTCGAGCGACGCGAGCGCGCGCGCAAGGTATATCATACTGTTGGTAGTACTGTCGCCGGAATATGGCAACACGGAGCAACGAGGCAGAGAAGTCTACACATCCATCCATCCATCCATACACTGTACGGTGCCCCGTTGCACGTCGGGTAACCGAACATGTACGTATGTCCTATACGAGCGACGTAGCGTGTTCCGAAGTGTGTCGCGGCGTTTGGCCAAACTCGGCTCGGGTCGGCTCAGTGTCTTCGAGTTAGCTCGGTCCGATTCACGGGCTTGTGTTTCTGCTTGGCGATAGCACGCGCGCGAAATCGCGCAGTGGTCGAGGCGTTCTTGGCGGCCTCCTGGTGGTGTGCTCTGAGGCGGGCTAGAAACGAAGCGAGCGAAAGAGAGCGAGAGAGAGTGAGTGATAGTGTGGGAGTGAGAGAGAGAGACTGACAAACAAGAAGAGTGATAAGGACAGGCGTTGGGAGGAGAGAGAAGACACACAGAGAGGAGGGAACGAGACAGAAAGAGAGAGAGAGAGAGAAAGATAGAGCGCGCGCGCGCGCGCGCTCGTGCTCGCGCTCGCGCCTTCTACCGTTTGCGTTCCTGGGACGCTCGCTGATTCTCTGCGCGCCATATACATACGTGTGTGCATGCACTCGTGCACACGCATGCAAATCTTATCGTCGCACGAGGCTCAAGTAGCCGGGTCGTCCGCAGCAGATCTGAGGAGGCGCGTTGAAAGCTGCACTGTGGACGAGCAGCTCGCCACACGACTCTACGTGGGCTAAGATGCCCGACATAACTGGTACAAACGACGTCAACATCAGAACAGCTAGATCTCGTGGCCAGTTGTGCACTTGCTCTTCCTCGCGAATACGTCTTTGAGCTACTCCCGCCGCCAATTGCGTTGTTGAAATCACCATCGTTCTCTGGACTAAATTCTCTGGATACGATTTTCTCATGGTAGTAGTAATAGAGTATGCTTGGGATTCTGGAGGAAGACTTATTTGAAAGATAGCTGCGGTGTGTTTCACAGACACAGAGAAACATCTTGATGAATGTGCAATAACAGTTCTGATAGTGATATGTACATTGGAATTGTGTGCTGATCGATGGTTATTATGCACGTAGCTTAGAAATATATGATGTACTCGACAATTCTTGTATTGTAAGAATAATAATAGTTACTGAAGGAAACAAATTGTAGCAATAGCAGGATTCATACTGTGCCATCTGGTGCTGCGACTCTATATTTGTTTGCAACATTGTTGATACATGCATCCGTATGTAATTGTGAGGATATCTCTTCTGCATATAAATTAGGTGAAACATCTAAAATCCTGATTGAAATTGTATTATGACTTTTAAAGATATTCTTTGTAATATAGTTGTATTTTCTGTTAATCCGTCAGGATATAGTCTCTTGGTGCTGCTATTTCTTCAAGAATAGACTTCAGAGAAATCTTTTGGTATCCACCAATGTTGATTTTATAAGAAAGCTGGATTAAATACTCCGCCAAGATGTGTGAGCAAACGGAAATCAATTACCTGGATGGAGATGTTGTCTGGGTTAAGTTGGGAGCGTGTTGGTGGCCTGGACAAGTTACTGGGTTGCATAATTTGCCAGACGATATACAGGTTGAATTCCGAAAGAAACCGTTGATAGCTGCAGTAAAGTTTTTTCAGGAAGATACCTAGTAAGTTGAGAAATTTTTACTCTATTATGTAATATCTTAGTGCTTACATCACAATTGTTATAATGATAATTTCATTAACCTCTCTTTTAGTGAATTTGTGAAAAATTACCAACAGATCTACAAGTACAATTGCACACTCAAAGATGATTTTATCAGAAAAGGTTTGGGTAAGTAACCGTTCATTTTTGTGGACACTTAATTTTGCAAATTATCTTCTCGATAAAGTTCAAGATAAATAATTCTTGTTTTATTTTACTTAATAGATAAATATAGAAGTAAGAGTAAGGATGGTACCAGTTATATGGATAAATTCCCAGGTGATGTAGAGATGGCGGAGAAGTTAACAGGTGGAAATCCCGATATACTGAATCATCAGAAATTTTGTCCCGAAGAAAAACCGGATATCTCCGGTTTGTTCGGCGAGAAGAAAATTCCGAAAAAGAAACGCGATCGCGATGACTTGCACAGGCGAAGCGATAATTCAGAAAACTTGAAGAAGATCACGCATCCGCGCTTCATACGGGGGGAAAGCGACCACGAAGTTCGCATTCGCCAGCAACCTAGCAGTTTACCGTCTACACCGACTAGTACAGGTTCTCCGCAATATCCCTGTCACTTTTGTGGCTTCACTTCCTCGCGCGTCAACGTTATCATTTGTCACCTGAAGATTCACCGATCTGGCGGCTCACCGTCGCCGCAATCGAAAGTCAAAACATATTCTCAGTCGCAAAGTAGAATATCCGATATAAGCTCACCGAAACGCAAAAACGTCAAGAAAGAAAAGAACCAATCGAGTAAAAAGAGCGACGGTGAAGTTGAGCCGCGTAAACGAAAGCACGTTAAGCAGAACGAGAAGACCAACAAGAAGAAGAAGACTGATCCAGAATTGCGCGAGAAATTATTGGCTGACTGGGACGACGAATCGGACGAAGAAATGAGTGTTAATGTAAATAACTCTTTGAATAACAGTACAATTAACAATTCGGCTACCAAGGATCAGTCGAGCGTCAACATTAGTCAGGAGTTTAACGAAGAGAGCGATGCCACAACAGATAATAACGAAATTATAGCAGAAACTGAAAAATTACTTAAGGAAACTGAAGGATTATCGTCGATACACATGTCGCGGGAGTCATTAGATAATCTGTCTGCTTCGACAAGCTTAAGATTGAGTAGTTTCGACAAGAAATCCGAGTCTGAGAAGGACCACAAGGTTGGCGCGACGTCCAATGAAGTGTTCAAGAAGTCTCCAAAAAAGGATACCTCGGGTCCCGACAACGACAATAAAAATGTCTCTGTCAAAGACGACAAAAAGTCAAGACTATCTTGTTTCGATTTTGACGAGGACGACTTAGCCGAACCATCTTTGCCCGTACGAAAAATCCCTAGAATGTTCGGCGAAAAGAATTTATCTTTGAAGAAGGAGATTATTAAGGAATTCGAGATGAGTCAAGCTCTGAAAAATGAAATTAAGAAGGACACTGAGAAGATACCAGAGTTAGAGAAAAGTTTGGAACTAAAAGCTGACGAAATAATGGAAATAATACAAGGTAGCGGATCTTTACCAGAAAAAAAGGAAAATAAAGCGGATAAGAAATCCAACGAAAATGTACAAAATAAAACGGAAGAGATCAAACAACTTGAAGATAATGTTGAGAAGAAGACTGTGCCATCGGAGAAGAACGAACGAGAGGAACGAAAATCTAAGGCCAGCACTTATGAATCTGAGATAAACAGAGTTGCAGAAATTATTGGCATTGAAAAGAAAAACGATCAAGCTACAAACCATTCTACGAATATTAAGAAAGATATTGAAAAGCAAGCTAAGCCTGCTGCACCTGAGACGCCAGTAAAATTAGAAGCATCTGCGAAGGACGAAACGTTTACAGACGCGACTAAAGCTAACGTTGACATATTGTTCCAGTCCGAGAAGACTGATTCAGACAATGTGATAGCGGAATCCAATGAGAACGCATCTACGAAGGAAGCTGACGATACTTGGTCGGAACGTTTTACTACGGAAACAGAAGACGAGACCGTGTCCGAATCTGCGGAGACTGTGCCTGAACAAAGCGAAAATTCAGATGTCGATCAAGATCAAAGCGCTGACGACAGCCTCTCAGGAAGTCGTGCCAGTCAGCCGATTAAACGAGGAAGAGGACGACCGCGCAAGGACACAAAGTCGACTAACAGAGGCGGCAGCGTGAGCAAAAGTCCGAAGGTGAGAGACAGTAGGAGCAACAAGAGGCCTCGCATCAGTGAGAAAATCGAGTTCGAGCATAAGACTTCGGACTCGGATACAGATCGCTCATACAGTGGTAGAAAGCGCAAGCCGAACAAGAAATATTTAGAGTCCGACATATACGTTCAAGGTTTCGACTACAAAGCGGTTAGAACCGATGAAAGTCAATCGGAGAGTGACGATAAAGTCTCCGAAAAAAGCACGAGCACACCCAGAAGAGGTAGGCGGTCCAAAGGTGCCGAAAACAAAAGTAGCGATATCACCGCTCAAATGGATAAGCAAGAGATAGAGATAGCTGATCAAATGCCGACCGCAACCGAGAATAACGTTAGCATTTTGTCTTCGATTGAAATGAAACCTGAAATGCTTGAAAGCAACGTCTCCCAAGAGAAGACACTCACTGAAAAGCCCGAGGAAAAACCTGAAGACATTAAATGCGACATACTCGAAGAATCAGTGAAACATCTGGATGAAATAGTCACTGCAAAAATTGACATGAATATATCATTGAAAAACGTGGAAATGACGATAATACCAGAAACTACGAGCAAAAATGACGAAGCAGAACTTGATCTGGGTAAAACTGTCGATAAGTCATTGAATATACTCGAGAAGGAAAATGTTAAGCAAATCAAAAGTACCGAAATGGATATTAAAGATGAAGATAAATCGACACTAGTACAGCAAGTTGAAAATAAGTGTGAAATTCATCGGGATTCCCCAAAAACGAGCGTGGACATGTTGCCGCCAAAAAAATCGCAGATAAAAAAGTTCGAACTATCGCAAATAGATTTTTTCGAAACAGACGTAGTATCAACTAATATAACTACGCAAGCTGAGTCTGAATCTAAGATTGAGCCGGAGTCTAAAATTGAACCTGAATCTAAGATTGAACCTGAATCTAAGATTGAACCTGAATCTAAGATTGTGTCTGAATCTAAAATTGAGCCTGAATTAAAAATCGAGCCCGAATTTAAGATTGAGTCTGAATATAAGATCGAACCTGAATCTAAGATTGAACCTGAGTCTAAGATTGAACTTAAATCTAAGATTGAGTCTGAATCTACGATCGAACCTGAATTTAAAGTTAAACCTGAGCATCAGCATGAATTGAAAAATGACGATGTTAAAAAGATAAATGAGGACGAGATAGAGATAAAACTAACAATGGATAAGATAACCGATGAAATCGCTAAGTCTCTGGACATTGAGCATAAAGAACAAATTCCCGCGAATAGTATCGAGCTCAAGTCGCCGAAAAAGTCGGAGAAATCTGATGAGAAAAAGGAGGAAACGCGATTGGAAAAAATACCGGAAAAGACAGAGGACATTCAACTGAAGTTAAAAACGCCAGAGAAGTTGGTCTCAGCTGATAAATCGAACAACACGGAGGTTACATCAAAGAGTCCCACAAAGGCTACGATTGAGCAACCATTGACACCCAAGAGGTCCTCCATGCAAACGAGATATAAAGGAAAATTCACTCCGGAAACGGGTGCCAAGGGGAAAAAAGATCAGTTCTTGGATGATACTCCGAAATTAACCAATACATTCCAAGAAGCTTTCCTGAAAACTCTACACATGGACAAGAAGAAGATCGAGGAACCTGAGACACCTAAAGGAAAGAAGGGGAAGAAGGCTACTAAAAAGAAAACTGAGGAGATCGACATGAATATTATCATGACAATTGCACCAAATCCGAAAGTCGACGAGTTGAATAAAGATACGCAAATCTTCGGAAATATTCAAACCGAGGCAAGCATATCCGACATATCGATCGTGAGTAACTTCGAAAACGTCGAAATGGTCGTCGAGGAGAAGTTGGAAGTCGACAATAAAATTGGAGAGAACGTGTTCAAAGCTACCGATCAGCTCGGAACGTCGCCCGACGAATTTATTATCGTAACTAAGCCATCTTTCAAGTCGACCGTTTCCGAAAATAACGCGAACAACATTCCAGACGTTAAGAAGGAGGAAATCTCTAAAGTGACGCCTGTGTCCACATCTTCATTATCACCGTCGGATACTTGCGTGCCGGTGAAGAAACGCGAGATGCCACGCATAATAGAAAATGTGACATTGACTGAGCCAATGCAGATATTGAAGTCAAAGTTACTGGACAAATTACCGCAGAAAGGAGTCAAACATAAATTCGAATTAGACATGTCAAAGAAGGGAGACTCGAAAAGTTCCAAAGCCAAGATAATGAAGATAGAAACTCTGCCCTCGAACAGTAAAGCAAAAGGCAGTGCGAAGTCAAGTTCAAATCCGCATATATCTCTGACAAAGAAGCTTCAAGTCTTGAAGACTGAGGAGACGGACGCGCTCTTGGAAGCGCAGAAGAGAGAACAGAATATGTCAGCGGAGCAAACCGCGGACAAGTACGTGCAGCAGAGCTCCCAGAGTCTCGCCGACATGGAACTGGATATCAATTCGATGCCGTTTGTCCTCAGCGATGACGTTTTAACGCCGGAGAGTATCGAGCAAATGCCTGTCGTTATATCTTCCATTATTCCGGCGTCCAGTTCAATACCAGCCACACTCTCTTTCACTCCGACCACGCAAATTGTGTCACCCACTGTGCAGACTGCGCAATTCAAAATAACGAATGAGACCGCGACCGAGACTGTGTCGTCTTCGACGAAGAAGAAGAGCGGCGTGCCGGCGATACTGAAAAACAAGAAAGCGAGGCCGACCATCACAAGCGTTAAAACCCTAGTACCGCCGCTCACCGGTGGCGTGAAGGGTTTGAAATTTCAGACCGCTCAGCCGGCGAGCAATACGACGGCACCCCTTTTGACGCAGAAGGGCGCCTCTCAAGGAAAATACGTGGTCGTGCAGACGGCAGGAGGACAACAATTGCGTTACAGTGTTCAAGGTAAGGCGGGCACCCAACAGAAGATCGCTATTCCGACCGGTAAGCCAACTGCTGGCAACGCACAGGTAGTTCAACAAGGCAGTAAGGTCGTTATATTAACGTCCGCGCAGTCTTGCCAGGCCAAAATGATGCCGTTAAACATCTCTAAGACCTTGAGTGGTAAAGTGCAGAGGATCATGACGAGCAAGGGCCAAGTATTGTGCCCGATTAGTCCGCAAACTGGTATAATCACCTCCAAGACGCTCCTTGCGCCGAAGGCCGACGCGACTAGCTCGCCCACAACGTCCAAGTTGGCCGGCACCGGTCACAAGATCATTAACACGCAGGGCATCATCACGTCCAAAGCTGTGCTCACTCCTATTACTGGCAAAACAACGTTATTGGGCACACTGGCGCAAGGAATCCTCACGAAGAATCTTTACACCCCGATCAGCGGCTCGGCCTTGAGTGGAAAGACTTTGATTGGTTCGAAAGTCGTTACAAAGGGTGCAACTCTATTGTCTTCTCAGAATTTGAGCGGCACGAAAGCGATTCTAGCTCCGGTGACTCAAGCCATTGCCGGCAAAACCATACTGAACACGCAAGCCATCGTGGGCAGCAAGGGTACCGTCCTGACGCCGATAACCGGGCAGCAGGTGAAGGCTCTCGCCGCCAAGAGTCCGACCAAGGGCAATAAGGCTCTACAGTATCAGCAGGTTCAGCAGAAGATGCAATTGCAACCGTTACTGCAGAAGTCTAAGATGCCGATATCGTCCGCATCGTTGCAAGCGAGGACATCGGCGTCGCTGAAATCACCGGGTAGCAGCACATTGGTGCTGCAGAACACAGTCGGTACCGCATCCCCTCAGAAAACCACTCATAGTAAGAAAGCAATCAAACAGACGGTAGTGCAACCAACTGCTACTATTCAAAGTATCGCCTCGCCGAGCGGCGCGCAACAGACGGTAGCGGTGATGTCGCAGCAGATGCAGTCGAAAGGCAGTAAAACCGCTGCGAATGTGCAAAAGGTCATAATCCCACGAAGCGGCGGTCGCCAAACGAAGGCACAGCAGAAGATTATGATGCAAAAGATGCAGGATCCGGTCGTGTCAACGATGCAAAATATCCACGCGAAACAAGTAATCGCTGCGACTTCGGCGACCGTGCCGATCACCGCCAAGACTGTCATTCAGTCCAAGCAAGCAACTCCTACGAAATCTTCAACGAAGTTCCATTCCTCGAGCAAGCTGCAGAGTCAAGCGCAGAAGAATCTATTGAACGTCGCCATGAACTCGATAGGTACCGTCACGACAAACGCGAATATTATCACGACCTTAACTATACCGTCGCTTGAACCGATTGACACGGAGAAGAAGAAGACGGATCCGCAACTCGTCGACGGCGGTCAGAAGGAGGCAAGCAAGGTTGAGAAGGTTCAGACTGAGAAGAGCGTCGAAGCCACAGATAAAACCGAGGAGCCGAAAGTAACCGCACAGATCATGGCTTTGCCAACGGAAAGCAGCGATGGCACGCAGACCTACGTCTTAGTGACGATCGATGAGCAAGGGCAAATACAGCCTTTGGATAATAACACTCTCATGTCGCTGGAGGGAACCACGCAGAATCAGGACGGCACGAGGACTCTGTATATAGACCCCAGCTCATTGGGAGAAACCGGCAGTTTAGACAATATCGTTCTCCAATTCGACAACGGTATTTTGCCGAACATTCAGAGCAACGTGACAACGGAACCTAGTCAGACGATCATATCGGAAAGCTTCCCGACGTCGGAAGTAATACAGACATCCAATCAAGATATATTGGCAGCCGCACTCGCCAACACCGACTTCCAGCAAGAGATTACACTGCCGGAGAACCAAACGGGCAGTGTAATGACCACCGGTCTCACGCAAGCAAGTCTCATTAATCAAACTATCCTACAATCGACGATTATACCACCTACACAGCCAATATCCTCACCGTCGGTGCTGGAGACTTCATTGACGTTAAACCAGCCGATTATGACTCCCCTCGAGGTGCCGAGCAACTTGCCCATTCAGTCGGATTCGACTCCCACATCGTCGACAGTAGTCTCCACGATACCAACTTCCCTCGAGTTACCAATCACCATCACGAATCCTGCCATCTCTTATATATCATCGGGTGAGACGCAGATACAAATCCCCGGCAACTCAATGCCGGACATCGGTGAGATCATGGAAAGCCCAGTGGGTGGTAGCACGGAAATAGATCGTACAGAGGAGATCTCCGTGAGCACGCAGTACTTGATGATCCCCAATCTAGAGGACAACATCGCAGTAGCAGCGGCTGCGGAGACACAGAACGTGCAGAGCACTGAGATCGCGATACCATCCGCCTCGTACTCGGTCACGATGCCGAGTAGCATGGTTTTGGAGAGCTCGCAGGTACAAACTACCCCGTCGATGCCGATTATTGACGACACGTACACTGAGAACAGCCACTTCGCCGGCGCGTCGATCGTCGCCGAACAGACTTTCGTGGACGTGCCGGTCTCGGAGATGTTGGTCTCTAAAGCACCGGTCTCCGTGGAGAACGTGCAATCGCAAGATATCACGGTAACGTCGGAGATGATTGTTTCTTCCCACCAGGTCCCGGCTTCTCCGCAGAAGCCGATAATATCGAACGAGTCCAAGAGTTTAGACGAGGAACAGACGGTGACAATGCAGGATGTGTCAATGCAGAACGTGACGATGCAGAACGTGACGATGCAGGAGGTCTATTCGTCGCATGAGGTTCCCATCACGTCTGAGGAACTAATCTTACAGCAACCGGTCAAAGAGATCAGCGCGTCGTCTTCGAGTGCAATAGAAATCGTGCAGGAAGCGGAAGCCGTCGATAAAGAGAACGACGTGTCGATGACCGATTGTTTGCCGATAATAGACGAAACTACCGTAGTGACGTCTGAGTCTACTTCCAGAATAGAGCCCATGGAACAGGTAAGTCTTGAGGTGATCAACTCAAGCAAGATAAGAAGCTCTACTGACTGTTTTACTAACTAAGCAGTTAATGTTTTTCGAAATGTCTATTATAGTTATAGTTATAAGTTACTTTAACGGTGGATCAGCAGGTGGTGGCCACATCGAACGAGGTGGAAGCCACCTCGCAAGTGCTACCAGCTGAATCGTTGACTCAATCCAACGACATGGCGATGGAAGTGGATGAAGAAGCAGTACAGTCGAGAGAACTCTACGCCGGTAGCAGCACGACCACACGTTCTGCGGATTGTCAGAGGGACGAGCCGTCGTCGCAGGAAGAGTCGGACAGACGCTGCCTGCATGAAAATGTGGAGCTGCACTTCGAAGAGACAAACACGGAGGCTGCTAGTCAAGAGGCGCCGTCGCAGTCGCAGTACGAGCAATTAAGCTCGGCGTCGGTTACCAGCGACTCTACGGATCTACCTAGTCAGTCGGCCGCTAAAAGCTCTGAAAGCACGGCCGAGGCCACTCAATCGAGCATAATTGCGTATGAGCCGATGGAGATGGACGAGGAGGAAGCCGTCGTGACGGAACCACCGACTCAGTCGTTCGAGCATTCAAAAGTCAACGAAGCGTCACAGTCGTACGAAACATCGGCGGAAGCCAATGTAAACGCGCCGACGCAGTCGTTTAACGAGATAATGCAGAGTCAGGAGGATCGTCCGAGTGCTGATCAAACGATCGACGACCAGAGTTTCCCCACGCAAAGTTACGAGGTTGACAAGGGTGAGAACGTGCCGGAAAATCTGGAGACTGACGCTGAAATCAGTCAGGAGGGGAACGTGCCATCGCAGTCGAACGACATCGGCGTTGACGGTATCGGCACGTCATCTGTATCGACGAACAACTCTGGACTCAACGAGGACGAGACGGCGAGCTCGTCTTATGTGCCAGAGACTCCTGAGAATCAGGAAAGGGATCAGGAGGATCAAGAGAGCGCGATTAGCACGTCATCGTACGAGATACCGCCGTGCGAAGAACTCAACATCGCCTCGTCCAGCGTAATACCGGACACGTCAGTCAGTGCGGAGCATAGTAGCATCCATGACAATGGGGTGCCAGAGATACCCACCTCGTCGTACAATCTGAATCCAGACATCACGTCGACCCACGTGGACTCCGGACCGACGTCCAGCTATGAGGACCAGGTGATAGTCGAACAGAACGTATCTACATCGTATGAGGTGCCAATCTCGATGCCCGGCTTGGACGAAACTTGCTCGCAGAACTTTGTCACTGAGAGCACCGATCATAGGAATGAGCCGTCCAGTTATTATGCCCATCACCAGGAAGTAACGGCGAGTTACTACGAGTCTGTCGACCAAGACGCAAACTCCCGCCTGGAAGGAGGCGATCCGCACGAGGAGGTGACGCCTGGCTACTACGAGGGCAATCCACAGGAGGTGAGCCAGAGCTATTTTGCGCCGGCTGAGGAGACTCCAAACTATACCAGTCACAGCATTTCGCCCAGCTATTACGATCCCAGACCCGAGAGTGAGGCGAGTCAGAGTTATTACTCCACGGACGAACTGGACAAGACTGAGCAGTCGTCCTCGCCGAACATCGAGGCGTCACAGAGCTTCTACCAGGAGAGGTCGGGCGAACTGAGACTGAGACAACAAGGTGAAGCAACTCCAACTTATCCAGAGGGCTATCCTGTGGATTACACCTTGGAGAACTCGCCAATCGAAAGGCATGACCTCGTAGAGAGCTCGGTACCGGCTACTAGGCCTATGGAGAGGTAATATATTGCGAGGGCCGATGGCGTCGAGGAGAATCCTTTCATGAAATAGACTATCAGACGTGCTGCCACTGCAGTTGCAGTCACCGTCGACAGCATACAAACTCTCCCCACATCCCATCCTCCTCCCCAAGTCTATTTTTAACTGTAAATATTACGTTAAGATATACACAGTTATAATAAGCGTTTAGCTTTTAAAGTGAAGTCTAGAGCTACTTTAGGCTCTCCGACGCACAAGACAAACGCATCTCTTGGCGCGCGCGTGTGTCTGTGTACGTTGAAATAAAGGGAAAAGGAATAAAGAACGGACATGTAATTTGCTCTTAGAATTTGATATATAAAAGTTATATATTAGGATTACGTACGTTGTGGTTTTATTTGCATTATTTGTTACGATCTTTATTTCATTAAAGCGTTTCAACTAAATAACGAAGGAGCAGCAGAAGAAGTGTCCATACAACCGTTAGAGTAAACGCAGCGAGCTATTTATATAAATAAATAATACATTGCTATTCATTTCTTTTTCCTTTTTTTTTGGAAATGTAGAGAATTATATCACGCAACCGATTCTCTCAATATTTCTATACCGAAAACCGGTTTCCGTTAAATATTTCTATGTCTACGATGGAGTGTTGCGAGCAAAATCGCGGGGGACGATCGGTTCGTGAGATAAACTCTCTTTTTCTTGCGACAAAATAATGGTCGGTGATAAAAGAAGTAAATAAAAAAAAATCGCGATAAAGTCGAATACCCGGGATTTTATTGCTACTTTACAATGTCGAGTTATAGTAAGCAGTTGTTTGTTTACAAGTTGTAAGGAATAAGAGCTCATGTGATTGTATAAAGCAAAGAGCACAATATTTCTGATAATACACCAATAATAGTACGCGCTCTACAAATCAGTGGAAACGTGAGGAATGGAGACCTTCTGTCTATCATTCTTCCTCTTTTTCTCTCTTGGGCTATATCGTTTGAAGACTTAACTTTCGCGTATAAGTTGCGTCATGCCCTCGATTTGCTCAATGTGGAAATGTTTTTTTTTTCAATGGTTGTGCAAATCATGGCAAGATAAGGTGCGTGTTGTGCTTTGAGCGAAACGAGGATCGTACATTTAGACTTACAGTTTAGTTTGTAGGTGAAACAATATATATGGAAAATAAAAAAATGCCTATTTTATTTCACTTATATATATACGTTGTGTATTTTGCGTATGAGGCGAAGGCGATTGAAAGGAATGAGCAAATAATTCTGTTAGCAAATCTGTCGTGTCTGAGAAATATGCCTAAAATTACTTGGGATTCATTGTGTCTTGTATACAAGGAAATGGTTTCTTATATCGGAGACGTGGTGCGTACTTTTAACGGGAAGATCAATTAGCACGATGTGCGAGAGGTTTTAATTGCTAGGAACAAACTAAGGACCGATCCTTGAAGATGTTTGTTGTGCAATCCTCTCAAGCAAGGCAGATTTACCAAAATGTCATAAGAAAAATTATATTCTTTATAGTCTCATGTTATATATATATATATATATATATATATATATATATATATATATA